AATTTTAATTATATTAATTTTCTTCCAATGTGCAGAGGACTCCCAAGTGCTGTGATTTATTTTAAAGTTGGCCTGTGTGTATTTTTTTTAATTCTCCTTATAAGAGTTCTTTGTTTGTTATTAGAGGTTAACAGTTTTATAAAGTAATAAATAATAAATGCAAACAAACTGTAGTTTTTGTCTATGATGAAACAATAAATACAACTTTATAAGCTATCAAGCTATCAAGCTATCAGAGATGTGCTGCGGCTCCAGACTAAACAGATTGGTGGAAAAAGGGTCAGAAAGGTTGCAGACCCCTGAGTGAGGTAACCCGGGTCAAACATATCCAGCTATTTTAAATGTAAGAAATAAAACCATTATTTTGTTTTGTATAATTCTGTGTTTCTTAAATCTCCTGTAATGAAGTCCTCATTAACCCTTCACCCCCCCCCCCCCGCCCCCCCCCTCTATAGGAGCTGCATTACGTCATCTCTGCAGCACTTTATCTATTTACTATTAACAGAACAAACCATGAAGCCCCGCCCCCTTTCTCATTAATAAATCCTCCTTATAAAAACTGCTTTTAAATTATTACATATTTAATAAAAAGTTTGTGTTTTAAGCGTTTTTTGGTTTTTCCTTCTTTTTTAGGCTTTAATGTGAAAAACAGATTTAATGTCAAATATTTAGCGAAGATAAAATGATCATTTGTATGTTTTTAATACATTTTTTAAAATATTTGTCACAATACTTTTTGGGGCTTTTTTTGTGTGAAAGTGAAACCAGGCCGCGCGCATTAATCGGGGACGCGCAAAGCATTTTTTTCGTTCACGCTTTTCAGCAGGAACGCTCGCACTCATTCACCCCACTTCCACACGCACACACACACACACACACACACACACACACACACACACACACACACACACACACACACACACACACACACACTGTTAGCAGCGTGCAGACACACCCACTATTTTTCGCGCGTAAAACGGGTCCAAATTACCTCCAAAATAAACTATAACCCTTCAGCTGATTTTAAATCTCTCATCGCTTCCTCTCAACATGTTCAGATCACTCAGTTTCATCATCTGCAGGTTTGAGATCGTATTTCTGATTGTTCTGACACATTTTGGGGGTGTGATGTCCTGCAGCTCCACACACACACACACACACACACACACACACACACACACACACACACACACACACACACACACACACACACACACACACACACACACACACACACACACACACACACACACACTGCATAATTACATTAACACACACACCGGATGTTGTAGGCTAATGAACAACTTCAGAGCACGAGCCTCTCAGGAAGCATGAGAGACTGATCGATCTGATCTGCTCCACAGCTCTGTCCTCTTTCTCTCTGATTTCACACGTGACCGAAAAACACAGAAAACGAGCCTCAAACACATTTAATTTAATTTAATGTATCCTCTGATTATGTTATCATCCTCTTCCTCTTCTTCAGTTTCAGCCTCTCCTCTCTCGAACAAAAGCACCGGGGAGGATTCTGCTGCCTGAATAATTCAGCATCTCTCTCTCTCTCACACACACACACACACATACACACACACACACACACACACACACACACACACACACACACACACACACACACACACACACCCTCCTCCACAGTTATGCAACAGCACATCATCTCTCTGTTGGTTCCTCTCCAGACATTAGACGGGTCCCACGGGTTTCCTCACGATGCAGTAAAATCATTTCCTCTCCTTTAAAAACCTAATTTTCTGATGTTTTAATGCAAAACCTTAAGAAATAATGCAGCTTTTATTATGTGTCGTGCACGAAGCGTGTGCACGGCTGCTTTCCCGTGCACACGCAGGAAACTAAAGCAGGAAACGGGGTTTTTTCAGAGCGTTTTTGTGTTTTTCGTTTCTCTTCGTTTCTAATATAAAAATATCGGATATTAAAATATAATATTAATAAAGATATTTATTTAATAAAGCAGTGTGTCGGTGCTGCAGCTCCGCACACTGCGGCGGGAGCACCGACACACACACACATACACTCACACACACACTCACACACACACCGGGACACACACCGGGACAAAGCTCCGGTTGCACATTAATATCGTTTAAAATCATCTTTAAATTAAATCGTGCTTCTATCGGTTTGTCTTCAGCAGAGATCTGAACCCGCCTCCTCTCCCTCTGCAGTCACGACAATAACAACACATATAATCTAACAAAAATAAATACAACTATATTATTATTATTATTTATGTTAATACAAAAAAGAGATAACTAATTGTTTCTGACATTTTTAAACAAATCCAGTTTGGGACAACCGAGGTGCAGAGAGGGGGGGGGGGGTTCCCCTTGTTAACACACGCACACACACACACACACACGCACATGCACACACACACACACACACACACACACACACACACACACACACACACACACACACACACACGCACACGCACGCACACACTGAAGCCCCCGCTGCTTCACTACGAGCCAAATCGACAGGAAACATCTAAAACAAACCATAAAAAACATCAATAATAATAATTTGATGTCAGTAGAAATCTAAAAATCAACATCTTCTTTTTACAGTAATGAAATTATTAGAATTTAAAGTCCACCGTTTATTTCATTTAAATTCTTAAAGTTCGTTCATTTCGCCTCAATTTCTTCCTGTTTTTGCAGAAATAAGAAGATAATATCAAAACTCGCGACTGAGAGGACTTCTTTCTACCTTAAGTGATTATAAATACACCTGTCTTTAAAAAGGGTCATTTTACCGGCAGAAAACCCCGTTTTTCAGCCTGAAAACCTCCTAAAGAACGGGTTTCCCTGCAGCTCTTCTCTGGTGTTCGCCGTCCGGACTCACCTATGTGCAGCGCGAGGCAGAGCGCGAGGCACCTGGAGGACCAGGACTCTCCCATCCTCTGTCGTCTGTCCTCTGTCCTCCTCACATCCACTCACTGACAGGAGGAACCGAGCATTACACGCAGAAAACACGCAGGAAACACGCAGAAAACACGCAGGAAACACGCAGAAAAAGCGCCACTAAATCCACCTCTTCTTCTTCTTGTTCTTCTTCTGTGGTGTCTCTGCTCTGCCTGGTTTGTGTCTGAAGAGGAAGAGGAAGAAGAGGAGAGAGAGCGAGAGAGAAAGAGAGAGAGAGACCCTCCCCCTTCCTCTCTGTCATTATTATTTCATGTTTTTTTAAATCATGTTATTTATTCATTTGTATTTCCTCCTCCAACGCATACAAAAAGTCTCATTTATTAATATTGTATTATTATAACTCGTATCATTATAACTCGTATCATTATAACTCGTATCATTATAACAACTCGTATTATAACTCGTATCATTATAACTCGTATCATTATAACAACTCGTATTATAAATCGTATCATTATAACTCGTATTATAACTCGTATCATTATAACTCGTATCATTATAACAACTCGTATTATAAATCTTATCATTATAACTCGTATTATAACTCGTATCATTATAACTCGTATCATTATAACTCTTATCATTATAACTCGTATTATAACTCTTATCATTATAACTCGTATCATTATAACTCGTATCATTATAACTCGTATCATTATAACTCGTATCATTATAACTCGTATCATTATAACTCGTATCCAGTGGCGTTTTTATATGTACAAAAGTGGTGGGGCACAAAAAACGTAGATGTCTATATATAAGCTTCTCAGTGACGTGCGGTGAGGGTCATGGCTGCTGAGGCACTGACTCTTCAGGTTTACAAATATTATATTTTGACCTAAACCAAAATATAATATTATTTTCAAAAGCTTTTTTTGTCTGATGCTTCGATTAATTTTAAACAGACAGTTCAACAAAAGGATACCCAAAAAATGTCATTTTATCATTTAAATATTGAATTGTTCTCTCTTAGTAAGATCCCATTTTCAATAAAATGGCGGTCTTACCTTGACTTGAAGATGAAGTCCATTTGCCTATCCTTCTGGACAAACATTTCTATATCTTTTTTGTAAAAGTCCTCCTTATCATCTTGTAGTTTCAAAAGTTTATCATAAATCTAATCCATAGATTTATGATAAAAAAATGATAAAAGTAGGGTAGACATGTGGATATTATCTGGCTAATCAAAACGTGCATTTATCTAACAGGTACGTTTCCCACAGATCTTATTTCCAGCTATTTTCTAAAATCCTCTGGAGAAACCTCATTGCTTTTTTGCAGCTTACTTCCTGGTTTTAGGACGCGTCACTGCAGCTCTCTCGTCTCCTCTTCACACAGCACACTTTTCGCGGCACACGTACTTACAGCCAATCAGCTCTGAATGATGTGAGATGACGTATGGTGGGGATGGCAGCTCAGTGCCCCTATGGTCATTATTTTTTTGCCACACACATTAAATAGGAAAATACTCTGAGCATGCGCAGTGTAGTTTTTACAGTCACCGTTCAGTTAGACAGTGAGAGGGAGGGGCATGATCAGGTTTTGTCCCACATGGCTCAAAACAGCTCAATAGGCACACACTGTAGACACTAATTAGAAGAACACAGACTAAAACAGCAATGTACAGACGAATCAGATGATTAAACAAGATCTTAAAATATATTTTATATTTAAAAAAAAAAAAAAGTTTTTGTAATCATTATTTTTAATACTTTCTGCTGACACTAGGTGGGGCTGTGAACTCGTATTATTATAAATCGTATTATTATAACTCTTATCATTATAACTCGTATTATTATAACTCTTATCATTATAAATCGTATTATTATAAATCGTATTATTATAACTCTTATCATTATAACTCGTATTATAAATCGTATCATTATAACTCGTATCATTATAAATCGTATCATTATAAATCGTATCATTATAACTCGTATCATTATAAATCGTATCATTATAAATCGTATCATTATAACTCGTATCATTATAAATATACATTACAAATAATTCTTATAGTTTTTAATAATGATGTAT